CAGATTGAATATCACTTGCTACATTGCTGGCTGGAGGCTTCCTGGAGGCTCCTGAGAGGCTTCTCGGAGGCTCCTGAGATGCTCCCGGAAGGTTTCTGCGAGGTTTAGTGGAGGCTCCCAGAAGCAACTTAGGAGCATGTACGAAGCCTTTCAGGAGTCTTCAGGGTCCCAGGGTTCCTCAGAATTCGTCTGCTTCTGGAATGCATCGGAAAGGCTTCTCAGAGGTACCTAAAAGGCGTCTGAGAGGCTTCTGAGAGGGACTTCTGAGAGAGGCTTCTGGCAGGCTTCTGAAAAGCTTCTGAAAGTAGTCTGAGGAGCTCCTGAGAAGCTCCTTATACGCTTCTGGGAGGTTTCCTGAAAGCCTCGGAGGGACCTTCAAAAACAGTTTCAGGAGTCTTCACGGTTCCCCAGGATTCCCTGAGATACCTTGTGACTCCCCTGGGTTCCTGGACTCCTCAGGATTCCTCTTCGGGGGTAGGTATCTTGTTCCCGTCGTGGGGCCACCCTGGGGCCGCGTTCGGGCTGATTCGGGCCGCGTTGGATTCCCCTGGAGGCCGTCTTTGGCCAGCTTGGGTCTCTCTGGGGCTCGTATTGTTCATGGAGAGACCGTATTCATATGAGGTCCACAGGGCCCACGAAGCCAAGTCAACTCACAAGGCTCGCGGGGCCTTCGGGGCTCAAAGGAACGATGGCCAAATCAGGCACAAAGATGGTCCCAAGACGACGTCAAGATCTCCCGCCGAGGCCTCCAGAAGGCCAGACGATTGCCCAGCATGGCTCGAAGGGGGCCCCAGAAGCCACAAGATGCGCCGGATAGGCCGCATGCTGATTAAAAAACTGTTCTGGCCTGGACACGAGATTGAGGCCTTGGAAAAATAGCGAACACGCATGTCACATTCATTGATCCACGCCTCCCCCTCCCCCTAATGTTCAAGGGTTGCGGTGGGTCTGACGAGTTGCACTTCGACCGCAGTCTCCCCCTCCGCGCGTGCCAACTTTGAGTTTGGGGGAGGCGGGGGAGTGTCCGCTAATTGTTTCCCCCTACCGTTGCTCCACCCGGGCGGCCTGTGGCAGAGCGGAACCATGGTTTGCCTCAGCAGAGCGCACGCACTGACTTTTAAACCACAACACATCCATGTAACATCAACTTTAGTATCATCAACAAAAAATGAAACCATGGAACATAAAAGAGAACTGCCAGCCAAAGTAGTAGACACAAGGCGGATCGTGTGCTGGACTTCCGTATAGCTGAGCTCTTTCCAGAGAGCGAGCAAAGAAGCTAACGTTGTCATCACTTCACTCTGCTGTGCGCTTCGCGCGTGGGAAGGGGACGCGGTCACACGCACGCTTGTTAGTCGAGCGGCCCTTTTCACGGGTATGGCGGGCACGACGCGTCGATCGGAAGAAGTAGGTACAAACATAAGGTAGGAAGGCTGATTCAGTACATTGGGTCCAGGCCTCCCAGAGAATGGCAACACACAGCAGAAGCAGCATCGACTCTTGAAATCGGAAGGCGCTTGAAGTAGACTGGGACCTGGGAATCAAGAGCACCTCATTTCTAGCATACGCACACACGCGCGCACACGCGCCCGAGACTTCTTGGTTGCAGCGACAGCTACGTGCGCAGAGCACTCGGAGGTTCGAAGATGGATGAGGGAGCAACGCCAGGGGGAGGCCCCTGGATGGAGGAGAGGGATGGCAGGAGGGAGGGAGGAGGGCCACGGAGGGAAGGCAATCCGAGCCCCCCGGATCGCCCCTAATAGAAGCCCCCCCTGAATGGGGCCCGAGTAAATGGGGTCGAAGGAGCACGCCTCATCGCCGATGCATCGCCGACGTCGGCGATGCATCGGCGACATCGGCGTGGAGAACATCGGGATCCACATCGAGCTGCATCGCCGACGCGGCGCGATCCTCCGACCCCAGGTGCTCCGACCCCGCCTGGTATGCCTGGCCTTCAGCCGCAGCGCGCCCTCCCCCTCTCCCGAGAGAAGAGCGGCAAAACAACTTCGGGCATTCCTTTCCTGCTCCTTTTGGGCCCCAAGGGGGCCCTGGCAGAAAATTCGGACGCCCGGAAGGGGTACGGGAAAAAGAGGTACAATGCCCAATAACAGAGGTTGTCCAAAACCGACAGCGACGGCTGTTCAGCAGTCGGCCGTCTGTCTCAAACGGACGTCCGCGTCAACACCGACAGCGGGCCCTTTCAAAAAGAACAGGAACTGTTGTTGGGCATCGTGCCAATTCTTTTCGTAGCCATTTCGACCTTCCCGATAAAGGGTGCAACTTTCTTCAGCCCTCCTTTCCCCCATGACGCCACGCCCGAACAACTTCTTCACCAGCAGCTTCTGGAAGTCCGCGCGGGCCCCTGGGGTCGGCACTGGACCCCTTCTCCCCGGCCCCCGCCGCCCCTCTGCGCGGAGCGGCCTCCTCTGGGCGGCGCCGCAGGCCCTGCTGGGTGGTTCGGGGAAGGGGGTTCCAGCGCCCACCCACATAGGTGGCGACCCCCTGTAGGATTGGAAATGGGCACCAACACCAACACAGGGGGTCGCCTCCACCGGGGGAAGATGCTCCTAGATTTCAGTGTTGGTGGTCATTTTTCGGCCACAAAGGAAGCCCGAATAGTACCGCCATCGCAACATCGCCGAGATCGGGATCATCTTCTCGTGGTGGGGGCACACCGCCGATATTGATGCTGGTGTTGACCTCTAGGCCTCCGAATCCCTGACCCTACCCCCACCACCAACCGATTCTCCTGGAATCCATAAGAGGCGCGGGCCAGGTTCGGATTTCGCCACGTGTTCGACGAATTCTGGACCCTACCCGGGCAGCCCATCGAGCTGCCTGAATCGTGGATTGGCGAGGGTAAGATTGAGATTCCGCCGCCGACCTGGAAATCAGAGCGAATGCCTGACAGACTATGTCTTTACAATCGTCTGCTCCTGCCGCTGTGATGCCCATGCGCCCTGCCGCTGCAGCCATGTGTTGCCGAGTGCTGCGCTGCGAAGGAAAAGCTCCTCCCCGCCCTCCCCCCCACAAGGAGGGGAGCTGGCGCCTCCTCCTCCTCTGTGACCTCGGGGCCCTCGGGCTCGTCTGGCGCGCGCTCCTTGATGTAGTGCCACTCCCACGTCTCGCCTGCAGAGCAGTGGTCCCCAGGGCGAGGAATGAACCACGAGGACGGCGGAGGCACTGAGGACCAGCGCCAAGGCGAAGTCTGAACTTTCGTCTTCGCACGAGTCCAAGTCACTGTCAGTGCTGGCAGGCCGTCGTGCCGCATGGCCCCCGAAAGGCCCCCTAAAAACAAACTGCGCAGCGACGGCGCCGACGGCCTCCCGGGGGCAGCAAAATGGCGAATGAAACGGACCGCTTGGTGACCTCGGGAATCCTCAACGACCTCACCACGCGATCCGTCACCACACGGCTTGTGGACCTCAGAGACTTGTCGCCCTAAACGTCCACGCAGAGCACCCCGAGTCCCAAAACCGTGCGGTGACCTCGATGAGGGCGCCCGATGAAGGGGGCCCCAGATGAGTTGCAGACAGTCTCGGGGTGGGTAGGACCGCAAGTGTCAACACCTCAAGGGCTGGGGGCCTGGCCAACACAATGGACGGCGAAGATGCTCCCTTCAACGAAAGAACATGATATTGAAGAACTTGCCGCATCCGCGTCCTTGCACCGGTGTGTGAGCACGATGCCAACTAGCCAGAATACCGGACGGAATACCGCAACACGATCTGCATCTGAAAAACGTATGGAGCGCGGCAATATGCTCATCAACGGACGGCCAGCACCTCTCCTGTTCGATACGCTCTATGGAGCAGGATACTAGTTCTACGGAACACCGACGGCGCTCAACTGTATGGTTTCGGCTTCACAGGGACATCCTCCCCATGGAGCCTGAGTTGGGAACCCCCGCTTCGGTTGGTAGGGCGAAGAGCGTGGCATAATGCAACTGACGCCCTAGTTGACGCGATCGGATTCTTCGTCACGCCAGTGCCCATTGCAACAAATGGTTCAACAACGCAGAAAGCGCTAATTCCCTTGCCAGGCTTTCGTTGGAAATTGCCTGAGTCGTGGGCCAGTCAAAGAATGGTCGCCCATAGTATGAGCCCCATCCCCATGGGAGCATGAAGGAATGCTGGGCCATTTGGGCAATGCCGCAGGATGCGCCCGCGATCCACACGCCCACTTTTGATACTCCCACTGAGGGGAAAGAAACACAAGAATGCATGGCACAAACGCAGTGCGCGTGCAGTATACGCAATCACACAATCACCCTGTACTTTGCCCATGGCTCGCATTCCCACGTGGTGCAGGGAGCGAGATACCCTGGCGATTGCGAACAGCTGTGAGCAAGGAATGAAACTCAACATAAACAAGTGCTCTCTCCCGCGTGGGCATTAGAACATGTTGGCGGCACACTAGATTGGGCAAGATCTAGGGCCAGGGGCGGGCCTTGTAAGAAAGCCCCCCCGCTGCTTCGAGGGTGCGCGCGCTTTCTTAGAACCCCCCATGTGTTTCGGTGAGACGTAAGCCTCGGGTTCGGAGGACTCGTGTTGGCCTGACCGGGGCCACCATGAAAATGACGCAACTCAATCTGAAATTTGACGCAAACTCCCGCCGCAACCATCCCACAAAACCGGACCGTCAGAATCTAAGATGCGCCTCGTCAAAGAGCGCCAGCAGAACAGGGTTCCGGCGTACTCGAGTCTCACGTCTCCCCCGAGTCTTCTGAGGTGGCCGCCCCACTCGCCCGAGCCCCTTGTCTGAAGGGTCCAGGGACACACACACTCACAAAAACACACACACACACACATCTCGTGCTTCCCAATTTTTTCCAATATGTTCTCGATTTTAGTTTCCCCCTCCATATTTCCCCAGACGTTCCTGGAAGTCAACGTTGAAGTGTGCCTGTGTGTTTCCCCCCCTGAGTGCCAACTGGTCGCCAACAGTTGCTGCGAGAACTCATCCGACTCTCCCACCTCCGAGATGCAAGCCGAAAGCCTTTATGCTTCTGTCGGAACTTGGTCGACGGCGTGAAGCCGCTGTCTCTGCGCTTGGGGAACCACTTGCGCTCCTTCGGTCGGCACGGGCACGTTCGCAACACAGACAGAGCAAGTGCAGCTGCCCTGAGGCTGGTTAAAGAACATTCGGACGAACTGGCAATCACAAAATACGACACAGAAATCAAATCTGCAATCCGTACCGCTGGGGTTGGCTAAGCCCACGTGGCCGCTTCGGCTGAACCCAAACACGCTGTCATCCCTTGGGCCTTCCGCCAGCCTTCCGCCGACTTCCAACGGCAGAACAGTCCCCTTGTTGTAAACTTCCGCCAACCTCCGCCGCCTTCCGCTCGGGGAGGGATGTCAACTCCATCTACCCTCGAGAGCGATGCCCTCTCGAACGCCTCACGTGATCAATCACCCCCTGGAACTTCAAAAGACGCACTGCTTGGGCTCTGCCCCTCGGCGAGACAGCCATAATAGCACTCAGGATATATACCTATTCGTAAATTTTCATAGGGCCAGGGACCCCAGAAAAAGCCCCTCCCCTCCCCACACTACCGCCCCCCCCGCTAACGAATGTGGCCCACCCTGGGCTTTTCGGGCAGCCCCCCAAACGACCTGGGAGGACCTCACGAGAGACCGAAGACGGCCCCAAAGGACCCCCGACGCTCCGGCGCGCTCCCGAAACGACCCCACAGAGTCCCAAGACGGTCGACGACGACCCCAAAGGAGCCGTCATACCCCGAAAGATCGTTCCAAAACGTCCCATGAGGCCTCCAAGAGCACTCCTAAGAGGACCCCACGAGGCAAAATTCATTGGTGTTCAATTGGTTTGTGGGGGGATTTGGGAGTTCTCCCCTCTTCGGCTTCCCGACGCTCCAAGACGCCACGAGGCCCCCAAGATCGCCCTAAGATGGCCCGACAAACCTCCAAGAGGGCTCGAAACCGGCCAAAGAGGGCCCCGAGACAGTCCCAGGAGGCTCCAGGAGGCTCCGTAGAGGCCCCAAGAGGCCCCCAAGAGGCCCTCGGGAAGCCCCAAGAGGTCCCGAAGAGTCCCAAAAGATCGAGCAAAGACCTCACAGAAGTCCGAGATCGCTCCAAAACGTCCCAAAAGGCCTCCCAGAGCACTCTTAAGAGGGCCCCACGAGGCAAAATTCATTGATTCGCCGTTGGTTAGTGACAGATTTGTGAGCTCTCCCTTTTCGGCTTCCCGACGCTCCAAGCTCAAGAGGGCCCTACACCCGCCCAAGAGGGCCCCCAGACAGTCCCGACAGGGCCCCAGGAGGCCCCAGGAGGTCTCCAAGAGGCCCCGCAGGGGCCCTAAGAGGCCCCCACTCAGGAAGCCCCAAGAAGTTTCCAAGATTCCCACACGATCCCGCAAGGACCCCACAGAAATTCGAAAACGCCCGAAAAGGCCGCCAAGACAGCCCCAAAACGAGCGAGGCGCCCGAACATGACCCCAAGACAGCCCAACAGAGCCAGTACGCGCCCCAAGACGCGCCCAAGCCATAATGGGACTGCACCACGTCCCACGGCGGCTCTCAGAAGGCCCCGGGAAGCTCCAATAAGGTCGACGTGACGTTAACACCCTGAACGCGAGGCCTTCCAAGAGCGTACGGCGCAGAACAACTTCAGCGTCGAGATAATCGAGCCCCGCTGCGACACGGTCCCGAGGCCCCCAAACGCCCTCACCCAAACGCCCTCACACGGTTTTTTTGCATAGTCCCAAACACACTGTCATTGGTAAATCCAGGTCGCCGTTCCGTGTCCTCCATGCCGTCTCCTACCCAAGTTGCTCGGCACTCGCGAGCCCTTCACTGTGTTTCTGGCCCCCCTCTGTGGCCACGACCGCGCATATGTGTGCACGTAGATCTGCTCACGTAGGCATGATACACATGTGCGCGCAATCATGGATCTACATTTACATACACACACATGTATACACACATATGTATACATATATATATATATACATATGTATATATATGTGTATATATGTGTGTACGCGCATCAGTATACCCACAAACGTGTATATGCACATCTATATATCTACGTGTAATCTATACTAGAACCATCGCGCGCGCTTCGCGCTCGCTCAGGTTCTAGCAGGCCCCAGGCCTTGACGAATTCACTGCTCCACTGAAGTAGTGGACCACAGTCCCCGCATACCAATCCGCATTCCGAAAGGCTTTCGGGGAACATGGTTGCGTAGGGGGGCGGAGGCCGGATGAATCGGGTTCCCAGAAGGCCTTCTGGGAGCATGGGTTTTGGGGGCGTCGTGGGGAGCCTGTTGGGGCGTGCCGTCGTCGTCGTCGTCGTCGTCGTCGTCGTCGTAATGTCGTCGTCGCCTGTTTGGGGCGCGCCGTCGTCGTCGTCGTCGTCGTCGTCGTCGTCGTCGTCGTCGTCGTCATCGTCGTCGTCGTCGTCGTCGTCGTCGTCCTCGTCTTCGTCGTTTCGTCGTCGTCATCGTCGTCGTCGTCGGTTCAAGAGGGCACTTGGGGCAACTTTGTGCGAAACGATCTGCGGAGGGCCGCGAGAAGGCGATCAATCATGTTCCCAATCAACTTCCGAGACAGCTCTCGTATAGCATGATGGAACTCTAGGGCCAAGGATGAACCATGTCCCCGGAAGGCTTTCTGGGGACATGGTTTGTTGGGGTGTGTTGGGGGCCTCGTGGGCGTTCCCTGGGGGGCCCCTTGGGGGCCTCCGGGAACTCTCGGGCCCATGATGAGACATGTCCCCGGAAGGCTTTCTGGGGACATGATTTCTTGGGGTGTGTTGGGGGGCCTCTTGGCGTTCCCTGGGGGCCCCTCGGGGGTCTTTTGGGGCTTCCCGGGGGCCTCTTGGGCGCGCCTCACGGGGCTTGGTGGGAGCCTCTTGGTGGCCTCCAGGGGCCTACAGGCGGCCTCTAGGGCCAGAGACTTCGAAAAGTTGGCTGGCGGTCCCCCTCTGGGCCTTGTCTTGGGGCGCTCTTGGGGCACACTTGGGTTGTCTGGGGAGCCTCCTGGGCCGTCTTGGGGCTCTCTTCGGGGCCTCGCAGGCCGTCTGGGAGCGATCTGAAGGGCCTCCGAGGCCGTGAGGGAGCGCTGGAAAGCGAGAAAAGCGAGAACGCCAAAATCCCAAACACTCGGAAAATGAGTGAATCTTGCCTCCCAGGGCCCTCTTGGGGAGCCTCTTGAGTCCGTCCTGGAGCGTGTTGGAGTCCTCGTCGGCTGTCCCGAAGGCATCTTGGGCGTCTTCGGGGCCTCTTAGGACCGTCTTGGGCCCCTTAGCCTGTCGTGGCCTGTTTCGGGGCGGGCTCTGGCCGCCTCGGGAGCTCTGGAACCCCCCCCACAAACCCTGGTGGGCACCGATGGGCCGATGGGGGAACAGGCAGCGGCCCGGCCCCCCCCCCCGGGGCCCACTCGGAGATAGAGAATCATGCTCCCGGGAAGCTTTCCAGGAGCATGATTTGTTCGGCTCTCTTAAGAGGGGGGCCTCTGGGGGCTTACCGAGGGGCCCCTTTTGGCCTTGTCGGCAAGCCTATTGGAAACATGGTTGGGGCGGTGGGCGGAAGCCCAAGGAATCATGTTCCCAGAAACCTGTATGGGAAATACGACTTACCGAGGTGTCTTGGGGGCCCGCAAGGGGCTTCCCTGGGGGCCCCTTGGGGGCCTATTGGGGCTTCCGGGGAGCCTCTCGGGAGCCTCACGGGGCTTCTTGGGAGCCTCTTGATGGCCTCCAGGGGGCGTCCTAGGAGCCTCTCAGGCCGGAGACCTTGAAATGTCTCGCTCTTCGGGCCCTCTTGGGTCGCTATTGGGGCTCTCTTGGGGCGCTTTCGAGGCCCTCTTGACTTATCTGGGGAGCCTCCTGGGCCGTCTCTGGGCTTTCTTGGGAGCCTCTTCGGCCGTCTTGGAGCGATCTGAAGGGCCTCTGACGCCGTCCGGGACCGTGCGGAGCCGGAACATGGGAGAACACAAAAATGCATCAAAAACCATCGGAAAGTTGATGATGTTCGGCTTCTGGGGCCCTTTGGAGGGGCCTCTGGAGGCGCTCTTGGGGCGTTTTGACGGCGTCGTCCGCCGTCCTGAGACCATCTTCGGCGTGTCCGGGGCCACTGGGGGCTGTCTTGGCAATCTTTCAAGCCCTCTTGGCGTGTCGTGGCGTGTTTGGGAGCGGGCCCGGGCAGTCCGGGAGCCCTGGGACCCCCCAATCCCCCCTATGGGGGGGTACGGCAACAGCCCGGCCCCCCCCTGGCCTACTCCGATATATATATATATATATATATATATATATATATATATATATATATATATATATATCACATGCTCGTGCGCGCGTATGACATGTATGCATATATTCGCACGCGCATGTCCACGCGCACGCACGCCACCCGCGTGCGAAACTCGAAGGACCAAGCAATCCTGTGTATATATATATATATATACACAGCGAGAGAAAGAGAGAAAGAGAGAGAGAGAGATAGACAGGGGGAGAGAAAGAGAGAGAGAGAGAGAGCGAGCGCGGGCAGCAGCCCGAGAGCGGGCTCGGGAGCGCTGCCGAGTGGCATCAGGGGGCGAGGGGGCAGAGAGTGTCAAGGGCCCCGCACAGGGGCCGTGGCCCGCCCCTGCAGGCGGCTGCTGCGCGACTACAGTGGGAGCTCAACCACAAGAAACCTTCCACAAGGAACCCAACCCTGAGACCCCAGGACGTTCCTTCGTTTTTTGTGTGGGAGCATCGCGCCTTCCATGGCAAAAGCATCGAAACCCAAGAAACCCAAGGCCCCCCAGAGGCAAGCAAGAAATTTCTTGGCATGGGTTTCCCGTGTGATATCCAGGAGCTCCGCGCGGATTTCTTGGACTGGCATGTCGCGCGGAGAACGCCATGGGACGGGGTCGGAGGCGCCAGCCGGGGGGGCCCAAGCGCCGATGCGAGAAATCCGCGCGGATCTCTGAGAAACCATATTTATGAAGGGGCCGTGGGACACACAAATGAATAGTCACAAATCCCAGGATTCCCTATGTTTCATATTTTCTGGAGTTTGGTCTTACCCTCCACTTCCCATATTTTCCCATATTCCGGTGGATTCAGGATTGATTGTGTCTGTGCGTGTGTTTTTCCCTCGTGAGTTTACGCCGCTGTTCGTCGCTCTGCGCTGAATAGGCCGCCCGTGCAGCTTCCTTCGCTGGCTTCTCCGGAGGCGTCCATCCATGGTCTGGCGCCCGGGGCGGTGCCGCTGCAGGCTCCGCGCCCGCGCCGGAGAGGTGCGAAAGGGCGGGCGCGGAGGAGGGAGGCAAGCGCGGAGGGCGGGCGGAGGAGACTTGCTTGCTTGCTTGCTTGCTTGTTTGTTTTCCCTCCCGCGGCCGGCCCCTCTTGCATTCGAGACAAAACGCCATTCGAGACAATTCGCAGTGCCGTTGCCCGGCTTGCCCACAGCGCGTGCGAACTGCCTCTGCCGCGCTGCGACGTAGAGGAAGCTTGTTGGTTTTTTGTTGGGGGGGGGGGGGCGTCCTGTGCCACTTCCTGGTCGGGGGGTCTCAGGGGGCGGAACGAGCGCGAAAAGCGCGTGAGCTGCGAGAGGGCAAGAGACGTGTGCGCCCGCGACATTCGGAGCTGGGGCATGCGGCCCACCACCTGCCACCAGGCTGGGGCTACGTTTACTGTCAACCATAGTGGGAAAGATGGGGAGCTCGTGGGATTAGTGATTGGCGGCTTCGACAGAAGACGCTGCTCGGAAAGGACTGGCGAAACAAACAACATGGAGCGGAGAGAACAGGGGACGCATATACTGCATGCACTTGCGAGTGCTTACACGCAGGGTAAGATGCAGGGAAAGAGGCGGCATCTTGAGCTTGGGAGTAGGGGGTTGAGCAAATGAGTTCGTCCAGTATCCTTCCTTCCCTTCGGGGACATCCCCCTCCCCACATCACCCATCACCCTGGGTCTGGAGCACTCCGCCCGCAGGTCCTTGGAGGGTCCAGGACGGCCCAATACCGCTCCGAGAGAACCCCAGACAGCCCAAGATGACCCCCAAGATGGTACAAGGTAGCCCGAACATTGTTCCAAATAGCCTCCCACATGCCTCTACGCCGCTACGCGGCTCCTGGATCGCCCCAAGACGGCTCCTAATGGCCATAGAGACTCCCAAAAATCCTTCGAGAGGCTGAATTACTCCCACACCTAACGGAAATCAAGGTGTTTGTTGTCTACCCGCCTTGTCGCTTCTGATGGGCATTAAAAGCCTCAACATGCCTTCAGTATGTCGACGAGCGCGTTCCACTACTCGCAAAGTGTATACTCGCAAATGACCTGGATCAGGCGCGGGGGATCTACGATAGTCTGCATCGAAGCAGACGTATGCCTTTCGGACGCTTGCGAGTAGGCACTCTGCGAGTAGTGGAACGCGCTCGGTGAGTATGGCCCGAGAGAATCCCAGGAGCGCTCCAAGAGGCCACGGCTCGGCCTCCGGCGGGGGGGTCGATGGCCGGAGATGAGAACACCCTGGCTGTGATCGACGGCCCAAAGTGTAAGTCGAGCCTGTCCTTCTACAGGAGGAACATTCAAAACTAATCAAAGAATAGTCTGGGGACGATTGTTCGATTATTTTTTGAGCATGCTTAAAGAGTTGTTGAATATCTTTTATTATTCGTCGAACATCGGCATGTGGGGGGGGACACGCCCCACCTAAGCCAAAGGCCTCCCAAACGGACCAAGTATTCTGCCAACAAGCTCCCATATCGAAAGATCCGCGAAGGCATTCCTGGTTGATTCCTGGCCCTGCTCAAAAGCTGATCCCGATTCTCGGATTGACGGCGGCCCTCTTTGTCACGCTGCGTGCTCCCACACTTCTGAGATCGCAGTACTCGCCTGTGTACGGCTGCTGGATGGGCAGGTGGGAATACGTGAAGCGTAAAAAACACTTTGCCTGGCCACTCAGAGGAAAGGCGCGAACAACAAACGAAGAGAGAGAGAGAGAGAGAACGACGACAATGACCATGACAAGGGCAATCGGAAACGACGACGACATCGAGACATACCTCCGACGTCGTAGGTGTTCAATGACATGGACCCCACTGCCCCAACGCTTCCGACCACGACCCCGGGCCCGACTTTTAGCCCCAAGCCTTTGCTTGACCATCCCAGGGCCCAGGGATACCTCCCCCGCAAGGTCAGACTACGAACAAACAGCTGCCGTTGGACTTTTCCGTGACGCCCGAAGCCCGCGGATAACAGCGACGACGACGACGACGACGACGACGGTGCAGTCAGTGCAGACGGTGCAGAGGGGACCGGGAGGCAACCCAGCAGGTCAACCTCTTGGCAGGCGCCCGACGGAGCACGCGCCGCAGCCGCCCAGTTCAACCACGACCGCGCATAACTTCCGACCCCTCGGCACGCAAGCGGTGAGCGCCTGGCCGAGGCACCGCCGCCGCGGGGGGTCTCAGACGGCAGCCCCGAATCCCCTGCAACGGTCCGCTCACACCAGAACTTCGGCCACGACGACGACGACGACGACGACGACGACGACGACGACGACGGCGACGACGACGACGACGACGACGACGACGACGACGACGGCGATCGCGACGGCAACGGCCACGGCCACGGCCACGGCCACGGCGACGGCGACGGCGACGGCGACGACGACGACGACGACGACGAGCGCCCCGAAGGTCCGCCTCCCCAAAGGGGCAAGGGGGTAAGACGAAGCTGGAGCGATAATCAAACGGTGAACCTCTGAGATCCGGCAGCCCTGGAGGATGTCTCGGGCGCCGCGGCCTTCTGAGAGCGCTTCCAGATCGCTCCGAGAGCGCTCCGGAGCGCTCAGGAGAAGGGTTAGCCCCGTCCGAGGGGCCGCTCCCAAATAGGGGGCCACATGCAAACCCTACCCTTACCCCCCACGAATTCTGAGGGAGAGGGTGGGGTTCACTTCGATCGAAGTGAACCCCACCCTCCCCCTCAGAATGGGTGGGGAAAGGGTTTGTATGTGGCCCCCTACCAAACCACCCGCCGCGGCGCCGCACCCCGCTCCTTCGGCCAGTAGGCGAAGCCCACGCAGCTGGGGTGCTCCTTGCCGCGGGGCTCGCGCCGCCCAGCGGCTCCCCGGCGGCACGGGAGGGAGTGGCATAGGAGGGAGGCGGGGAGCCTCCGCCAGAATGGACAAGCGAGTCCGCGGGAGGAGGAGGAGGAGGAGGAGGAGGAGGAGGAGGAGGAGGAGGAGGAGGAGGAGATGGAGGAGGAGGCGAAAGAGGAGGAGGAGGAGGAGGAGGAGGAGGTGGAGGAGGAGGAGGAGGAGGAAGAGGAGGAGGAGGAGGAGGAGGAGCTGCTGGTGCTGGTGGTGGTGGTGCTGCTGCTGCACACGGCTGTTGGGCATGAAAGTCAGTATGAATTAATTACCTCCCCCATAGATTACACGAGCATGTCGATACACGTGCGGACGTGCCACTGCACACTTTCCGTCGCAGCGGGGCAAAGGCAATCCGCACGTGCGCTCGAGCAAGCCCGGTAACGGCATCGCGAATTGACCGGCAGCAAGAGTGGACAGAAAAGAGGGAGGGAAGCGGCCGCGGGCGGGGGAGGAAGGAGAACGCTCACGCCTCTGCACAAAGAGAAACGCCAGGGACCGAGCGGAGCACCATCACCGAGGGGGCCGAGCGAGGACGGAAAAAGCCAGCCGATGAAGGGCCGAACGAGGAGGAGGAGGAGGAGGAGGAGGAGGAGGAGGAGGAGGAGGAGAAGTCGGAGGAAAGACGTGCCACAAGCGGCGCGCAGCCCCGGTCAGCGCCGCCGCGGCCGCCGCCGAGGCGCCGCCCTGGCGGCGCCTGCGCCCCTTGCCCACGCCTTCGCGGCCCAGGCGTCCTGCGTACCACGCGTGGGCTGCAGCTGATGTCGAGGTGCCGAGGGACGGTGGCAGTGGCGCGGACGCTGTGCTCTGTCGAGAAGGCCTGGCTCAACGACCGGTGTGCGAGCGGCAGCACCCAAGACGCCCACAAGAGGCTTCAAAGGCGTCTCCAAAAGGCCCCCGAGATGCATCGTCCCTTCGAAGCCTCTGAGAGCCCTTTTGCCTACGACCCAAGCAGGGTGTCCTGTCTCTTCTCCAGTCTCGAGGTGCTCTTCAAGCCATTCTGTAATAATCGAAAGGCCTTCCTTCCTGCGCTCCTCGGTCCCTCGCAGCCTTCCTGGGCATCCTGATCATCCTTCAGGACCACGTAATGTGTGTGTGTGCGTGTGCGTGTGCGTGTGCGTGCGGGTGCGGGTGCGAGTGCGGATGCGGGTGCGGGTGCGTGTGCGTGTGCGTGTGGGTGTGGGTGTGGGTGTGGGTGTGGGTGTGGGTGTGGGTATGGGTGTCGGTGTGTGTGTGTGTGTGTGGGTGGGTGTGTTGGTGTGTGTGTGTGTCTGTGTGTGCGTGCGCGTGTGCGTGTGCGTGTGCGGGTGCGGGTGCGGGTGCGAGTGCGGATGCGGGTGCGGGTGCGGGTGCGTGTGCGTGTGCGTGTGCGTGTGCGGGTGCGGGTGCGAGTGCGGATGCGGGTGCGGGTGCGTGTGCGTGTGCGTGTGGGTGTGGGTGTGGATGTGGATGTGGGTGTGGGGGTGGGTATGGGTGTGGGTGTGTGTGTGTGTGTGGGTGGGTGTGTTGGTGTGTGTGTGTGTCTGTGTGTGCGTGCGCGTGTGCGTGTGCGGGTGCGGGTGCGAGTGCGGATGCGGGTGCGGGTGCGTGTGCGTGTGTGTGTGGGTGTGGGTGTGGGTGTGGGTGTGGGTATGGGTGTGTGTGTGTGTGGGTGGGTGTGTTGGTGTGTGTGTCTGTGTGTGCGTGCGAGCGTGCGTGCCTGCGTGCGTACATGCGTGTGTTGTTGTGGTTGTGTGCGTGTGCGTGTGCGTGTGCGTGGATGGGTGTGGGTGTGGGTGCGTGGGCGTAGGTGTGTGGGTGGGTGTGGGTGTGAGTGAGTGGGTGTGTGGGTGTGTGGGTGTGGGTGTGTGGGTGTGTGGGTGTGGACTAGTGGGTGTGTGCGCGTGTGGGTGTGTGGGTGTGTTGTGTGTTGCGTGGTGTGTGTGTGTGTGTGGTGTGCTGTGTGCGCGGATGTTTGGGTGTGTGGGTGCGTGCGTGTGTGGGTGTGTGGGTGTGCTGGTGTGTGAGTGTGTGGGTGAGGGTGTGTGGGTGTGTGGGTGAGGGTGTGTGGGTGTGTGGGTTTGTGTGTGTGTGGGTGTGTGCGTGTGGGTGTGGGTGTGTGCGGGTGAGTTGGAGTGTGGTGTGTGGGTGAGGGTGGGGTGTGTGGGTGTGTGGGTGTGGGTGTGTGGGTGTGGGTGTGTGTGTATGTGTGTGAGCGTGTGGTTGTGCGGGTGTGTGGGTTTGTGTGGTGTGTGGGTGTGGGTGAGTGGGTGTGTGGGTATGAGCTTGTGTGTGCGGGTGTGTGGGTGTGGGTGTGTGGGTGGGTGTGGGTGTGTGGGTGTGGGTGTTTGGGTGTCTGGATGTGTGTGTGTGTGTGTGTGGGGGATGTGTGGATGTGTGAATGCGTGGGTGTGTGGCGTGTAGGTGTATGTGTGGGTGTGTGGGTGTGTGGGTGCGTGAGAGTGCGGGTGTGTGGGTGTGCTTGTGTGTGTGGGGGTGTGTGGGTGTGGGTGCGTGTGGGTGTGTGGGTGTGTGTGTTGGTGTGTTGGTGTGTGTGTGTGTGTGGGTGTGTGTGTGTGTGAGTTTGTGTGTGTGCGTGTGTGTAGGGGGGCGTGTGCGTGTGTGCGCGTGTGGGTGTGCGAGAGTGCGTGCGTGCGTGCGTTCATGCGTGCGGTCGCGCGCGTGTGCGTGTGCGTGTGCGTGTGCGTGTGCGTGTGCGTGTGCGTGTGCGTGTGCGTGTGCGTGCGTGTGTGTGTGTGTGTTGTGTGTTGTGTGTCGTGTGTGCTTTGTTGTGTGTGCTGTGTGTTGTGTGTTGTGTGTTGAGTGTGTGTGTGTGTGTTGAGTGTTGAGTGTAGTGTGAATCGTGTGTTGTGTGACGTGTGTTGTGTGAGCTGTATGTTTTACATGTGTGTTGTGTGTGTTGCGTGTTGTGCATGGTGTGTTGTGTGTTGTGTGTTGTGTGTTGTGTGCGGGTGCGGGTGCGTGTGCGTGTGCGTGTCCTTGGGAGGCCAAGCTCGGCAAGCCACGGCCATTATGACTTCTACTGCCCAGCATGCCCATTTCTCGGGGCACGCCCCACCCCCACCCACCCCCGCGTCCTTCTGCCCAACCCCCCACCCCCATCCCTTGGCTGGGCGACGAGATCGGAAGCCTCCGAGATCGGCCTGGAGGAAAAGGGTGCTGCGGACGCACCGCATCGACGATGCCGGGGTGGAGAGAAAGTCCCGCTCCGTGTTCAGACCCCATTTACACGCTCTGGTCTCGTTTGTTAGGATCCTTGAGGCATTGGATGAGGTGCGTGGCGGGGCGGGTAGCTCCTCGGCCGCCTTCCTCATCGTCTCCAAGGTGGTGCCAGCCTCTAGGCGCGCCCCCCTCCCCGTCTCCCCTCCTTCCCATCCTTGCTACCGACCTGCTGGCAGTTTTCCCCAGCTGCTCCATATGCTTCTCTTGCTGCCGCTGCTTCTCCAACCCCCACCTTTCCCCATTCTCCTCCTCGAGCTCACCCCTCCTCCTCCTCCTCCTCCTCCTCCTCCTCCTCCTCCTCCTCCTCCGCAACCTTCACCTCCTCCACCTCCAATTGATCCTCCTCCTCCCGCCACCCTCCTCCCTCAAATCAAATTCGTCGCTGTCCTCCTCCTTCCCCTCCTCCTCCGCATGGATCTATCCTCCTGGCTCCTCCACCTCTCCTCCGCCCTCAGTCCTCCATCCAGTCCTACTACCCATTCCTGGGATTTCCAAGCAACTTATCACTGGACCCGCCCTCCTTCCACTCGTTCTGACCGCTGAGACCCAGCCACAAACTCCTAAACACTTCATCGTTGTTCTCTCCCCTCCCATACTCCTCATCCACAGTGCTTCGCTGCTACCCCTCATCACCCCTTATTCATCGTCCTCGTCCTGGTCCTCGCCCCAATCCTCCTCGCCTTCCGAAATTCCCCCCTCAAAAAAACATCAACAAACATGAGCTCCGCCCTATCAACGTGATGTGCCCTTACTCCGTCCCTCCTGAACTCTTCCTCTTCTCTCCCTCCTCGCAGAATAGGAGGATGAGGGGGAGGAGAAAGGACTGGAGACAGAGACCAGGAGGAGGATAAGATAATGAGAAATAAAGAGGATGGAGACAATATTCCGGCCGGTAACTGCTAAATAATACTTCTACTTCGCGCGCGCGGGGCGGCCCCTGGGGGTCCCCGGACGAAAAGTATCCCGGGCGATCACCGGCAAGGTCGGATCAGAGATGGTGTTCCTCCTGGGCGCCGCCCCCGTGGCCCTCCAGAGAGCCCCAAGAAGGACCACGAGGCCGCCAAGAGCCCTCCAAGATGGTTCAAGAGTGCTCCGAGATGCCACACGATCGTTCCAAGACGCCCAAGATGGCCCCCAGACGCCCCAAAAGGCATCCAAGAGCACTCCCCAGAGGGCCCCAAGAGGCAAAATTCGTTACTTGTCCTTAGGTTTTAGGCAGATTTTGTCGTGTCCATCTTTTCGGCTTCCCGACGCCCCAAGACGGCCCAAGAGGCCCCCAAGATCGCCCCAAGAGGGCCCAAGAAGCTCCCAAGAAGGCCCCAAGATGGCCCAAGAGGGCTCCAAGATGGCCCCAGAGGCATCCAAGACGGCCCAAAAGGGGCCCAAGAGGGCCCCAAGCGATGCCCCAAAGGGGGAACACAAAACAAAACTTCGAGCCCTCGGCCTTAAGAAGCCCCCAGGAGGCCTCAAGAGGCCCCTGAGAGGCCCCAAAAGCCCCCAAGAGGCCCTCAGGAGGCCCCCAAGCGACGCTGAAGAGGCCCCCCAGCGGCCCCAAGAGGCTCAGTCATGCGAAATGGGCCAGCGGAATGAGCGAAGCGATTCAATAAAGAGGATGGAGACAATATTCCGGGAGGAGGGATTCCCGGAGGGGGAGGGGGCGTCCATCCTCGCCTCCATCCCGCCCCCATCACCCTCTTAGGGGCCTCCCAAAGTAATCGAAGTAGATGGTGTCGGAGGATCGCACTGAATCGTCGATACATCGCAGTGCATCGACGATACATTGGCGACGCATCCGCGACGTCGGCGTGGAGCAAATCGAGCCCTACGTCGAGGCACATCGCCGATGCATCGGCAATGCGGCGCGACCCTCCAACCCTATTTGCTCGAACCCCGACTGGGAGGCCTAGATTTCCTCCCCCTCCTCCCTCCACCATGCAGCCCAGGGATATCCCACAGGGCATATCTCCTGGTGTTCTCGCAGAAGCTTGCAGAGTTGTGAGCACGCGTTGACTGCCGTGCCGCCGTCCACCACAACCACCACCACGTCCAGCCCCTCCAGCCCCTCCTCCTTCTCCTCCTCCTCCTCCTCCTCCGCCTCCTCCTCCTCCTCCTCCCCCTGGCCCTCCAGACGGGCCTTCAGGGTGAACATGTCGTCGCCCTCGCCCTCCGGGAGGCCCTTCTTAACCACCCACGTGGACGGCTGCGCGCGCGCCCGCGGCTGCCGGCGGCCGCTGGCACACGCCGCCAGTGGCTCACCGGGCGCGGCGGCGACCACCGGGCAGCACTCGGGAGGGGAAAAACACACAGACGCAAGGGATCGTTTACCTCGATGGAAAATATTGGAGAACGCATGGGGAGTGGGGGAGGGGGGCGATGACCCCAAAGAAGACATAGGATATATAGGATATAATCAGAGTGAAAGGGGCTGAACCGAACGGTCACTCACGGTCCCTGGGTGCGTGGCTGAAGAGGGATTCCGCGATGCGGACTCTTACTGTTGTTGTCGTCGTCCCACCGGCGACCCGCCCCGCGACCCACCCGCGACCCACCCCGCGACCCACCCCGCGACCCGCCCCGCGACCCGCCCCGCGACCCACCCGCGACCCACCCCGCGACCCATCCGTGACCCACCCGCGACCCACCCCGCGACCCACCCGCGACCCATCCCGCGACCCACCCGCGACCCACCTGCGACCCACCCCGCGACCCAACCCGCGACCCAACCGCGACCCAGCCCGAGACCCCCCCGGCGAGCCATCCGCGACCCACCGGCGAGCCATCCGCGACCCACCCGCGACCCACCCCGCGACCCCGCGACCCACCACCACCCGCGACCGCGACCCACCCGCCCACCCGCGACCCACCCCGCGACCCACCCAAAATGTTCGGCGCCTGCGGCGGGTTCTTTTTGCATTCGTTCCAGGTGGAGAACATGCGACCCACCCGCGACCCAAACCGCGCCCGCGACCCACCCGCGACCCACCGCGACCCACCCGCGACCCACCCGCAACCCACCTCGCGACCCACCCAAAATTTTCGGCGCCTGCGGCGGGCTTCTTTTGTTTTCGTTCCAGGTGGAGAACCTGCGACCCACCCGCGACCCAAACCGCGTTCAGTGTACACATCAAAATGTTCGGCGCCTGCGGCTGGTTGTTTTTGAATTCCGTCCAGGTGGAGGTGGAGAGCCCGCGACCCACCTGCGACCCAAACTACGTTCAATGAACAAGCCAAAACTTCGGCGCCTGCGGCGGGTTAGTTTTGCATTCGTTCGAGGTGGAGAACCTGCGACCCAAACCGCGCTCAGCGTACAATTCAAAATTTTCGGCGCCTGCGGCGGGCTGTTTTTTGAATTCCTTCCAGGTGAAAGTGGAGAGCCCGCGACCCACCCGCGACCAAAACTACCTTCACTGAACAAGCTAACAAATCGGCGCCTGCGGCGGGCTGTTTTTGCATTCGTTCGCGGTGGCCCACCACCGATTTCCCCCGCGCTGAACTGATCAGAGCACGCAAATCGGCGCCTGCGGCGGTCTTGCTCGCATTGGTTAGGAGGAGGGGGAGGACGAGGGAGAGGAAAAGGAGGAAGAGGAGGAAGAGGTGGAGGAGGAGGCGGACGACGACGACGACGACGACGACGACAACGATGAGGACGAGGACGCGGAAGAGGAAGAGGAGGAGGAGGAGGAGGAGGAGGAGGAGGAGCAGGAGGAGGAGGAGGAGGAGGAGGAGGAGGAGGAGGAGGAGGAGGGCACCATCGACAGGGAAGGTGGGGGCCACGAGTCCACCCGCTCGACCCCCGCGTCGCCCGCGTCCGCCTCCTCGATCTTATCCGCGATTGCGGGGTGCTACGTAGGGGGGATCCTGGGAGCTGTGTGTGTCTTTTTGCTCGTGTCCCTGGGCCTCATGCAAGCACTCGCGCGCCTCCGGCCAGGGCTCGGGGTCTTGCCGCGCCAGGCGCCGAGGCGGGCTGGGGAACGGGCGCCCCCGGAGGCGGCCTCCGGGGTGGTCCCGCGGGGGGTGCGCCGAGCCTGCCCGTGGGCCCGCGCGCCTGCGGGGAAGGGCGGCGGGCGGTGCTGCTGGCGGGGAGGCGCAAGCGCCATCTTTGGTGCGGCAGCTTCTGGTCTCGCAACGCAGTGCCAGCCGCAGACACTCGCGCACATCTGCCCCAAGCAATCTTGGGCCGACGACTGGACCCACATGCAGTACAGGGGAATGGTCCGCGTGAGGGGGATGACGAAACGAGCGGGGGAGGCGACATGCAGGCACACCCATTGGGGCCGTAGGTGAAGCTCCATACGTATGGGGGCACGATCGGCGTGTGGAGTGTGCCGAAATGGGCGAAGGGGACGCCATGCGGTCGTCCTCGCTGGTATCGGATGGGTGGAGCTTCCTCTGGGGGCGAAACATTCTGAGGCGTCGATATTAGCACGCGAAGAGCAGAGACAGAAGGAGGAGGAAGAGGAGAAGGGGGAGGAGTGAGGCCTGAGGCGTGCGCGCAGCGCTGCGGATGCAAAACAAGGACCCAGCGGCAAAGGCGGGCTGGAAAAACATGAGGATGAAGCGGAGGATGAGGAGTGGGGGGATGAGGAAACATATAGGGAGACGCACGGCGCTGCAGAGAGAAGACGAACAACAACACAAAGAGGTCGGGCCAACTGTAGGGGACGTCATGCGAGGTCCCCCACTGGGGCCACCTTGGAGCTCCTCTTGGGGCACGATCTGCGTTAGGGTTGTGCCCTTTGGAAGCAAAACCACCGTGCGCCAGCCCCCGGGCCCCCCCACTGAAGAATTAAATGTAGCCCTGTTGGACATGATCCGTGTGAAAGCTGGCGGGGACGCTATGTCAACAACCCCTCTGAGACCTTTCGAGGAGCTCCGTCTTTGGTACGATCAGTATGGAAGGTGCTCCAAACTGAGGCGAGGACGCTATGCGAGTACCACCTCTGGGGCTGTAAGTGGAACTATCTATCAATGGAAACGACCTGTGTGAAAAATTGATCGGATTGATGCCAAAACGCCATGCAAACACACACTCCAAAGCCGTGTGAGGAGAGCGCCGGGTTCGGGCGGGGCGGTCCGTGTGAAGGGCACGATCTGTGCGAGAGGGCGCGATCCGTGTGATCACTCGTAGGGCACGGTCTGAACAAGAGGTGAGCCGAAGTGAGGCGGGAAGCCGTTGTCGGAGCTCCCAGGTGGGGCACGGTCGGTGTGAGTGGCGTGCAGTAGCGGACTTGCGGGTAGGACGGGCAGCACCAGCAGCAGAGGCTGTCCGCGCAGCAGCAGCAGCTGGCAGCGGCTACAACGGCAACGGCAGGGCAGCAGCAACATGCAGCGCAGCGGCAACAGCAGGATGCGGAGAAAAGGGGAACAAACGCGCAGCCGAGAGACAACGAGAACCGACCTCACAAGAGGTCCAAGGGAAGAACCGCGCTGCCGTGCGCGCCCTCGGGTTGTAGCTTCGTGTGGCCCGCTCACAAAAATGGAAGGCCCCTATGGATACTGCAGCGCGTGGTCGTCGGCGAGACGTCCCTCGGCAACGTCTCTGCGGTGCAGACATGTGTCAGGACGACGGCATGACCCGCGAGCTGCGTCCCGACCTGCCATGGGTCACGCCGTCGTGCTGCCGCGAGGGCCTCTGTGGATACTTCAGCGCTGGAGGAACAAACGACGCACCCAGGAAGTGCGGCCCTGGCGGGCCTGAACGAATCTTTGACGGGTCACTGACGCCACGTGTTCCGAGACACCATGCTCGCCGCTCCTGCTGCTGCTGCTGCTGCTGCTGCTGCTGCCGTTCTCCCTTCTCCCGCTCCCTGATCGTCCTTCTCCTCCTGAAAATCGTGCCGATCGAGACAGCGGCCACCAGACCACCATCATGCCCCCTCCTGCGACGTCTCAGGTCAAAGACACAAGCGGAAAGTGAAGCAGGTCTGCACACAAAACAGACGAGTGGGAACGATAAACCACAAGACTCCGATCAAGCCCGCTTCCCAGTGGCTACACTATCGAACAATACCACTCTTCGAACTGTTCAAAGTTAGTCAGTAGTTCACTGACGCTGCCATTGCTGCTGCTCTCGGACAACATCGACCGCCCGATCAGCTGGATTGGCGATCGGGCCCGATCGCCCGCCCGATCTCGACAGGCTGCTGCTATGCGAATTGCCTGCCGGCCCCGCTCAACGACTTAAGATGAGTGGGTGCAGTGGCCTCTGGGGCCTTCCCGGACTTGTCGAACTCCCTCTTCTCGCGCTTCTCCTGGCACAGGCGACAGCTGTGAAAACTGAGGTACATGCTGCTGCTGTCGCAAAACTGTGGATCTCAAAACCCCGCCAACTATCGGGAAGACCACGGCGGCAGGATGGAACGCTGGCCAGACATAGGCGCCTGGCCGTGGGGTGGAACGATCTATGACTCTCCATATAAACTTCGCGATGTCCACCCGTTCCGGAAGGGCGCCCGACTTCCTGCTTCGCTCCGCGCGAGGCGAAATTCTTTTTTGTTGCGCCGACCGCGCCCCTGGACGAAAAACAGCTGTGCGGTCCGAGCCGCGCAGCGCGATCGTCTTTGCGCACCTGCGGGTGACCTGGCCTCTCCCCTCCCATCTCTGTTCCTTCCCTCTCTTACTGCTGAGCGGCCTGACCGTGCGCTTGTTCCTACAAAGTACAAAGTCGTTCGGTTTCAATCCTTTCCCCGCATGGTGTCCAGACTCTGTTCGCACATGAAGAAACCAACGTATCTGGGATGACAACTATGTCAAGATAGGAGTGGCTCAGAAAGGGCTTCTGGGTTTTCAGAGTACGTATCTAGCGGCCCTCGTTTCTGCAGCCTGTGTGGAACACTCGGATATCTTGGAAGACCTCGATGTCTTGAAACGTCTCATTTTCATACCCTCTTGCTCGTCTGACTGCAGGATTTATTTCGCAGGCGGTTGGCTCAACCAATGCCACGATAGTAGTCGCTTCCAATGAGACGGTAGATGCTGGGTCAGAAATGCGGGCAGGCACTAGAATCACAACTGCGCGCGACTCGTTGTATTTTGGGGCTGGCAGCCCGGCCTGTCGACCCCGAGGCGATGGTTTCTAGTGGCGATTCGAGGTGCGAGGGGCGAGGGGGGTATCGTCGTCCTCCTCGTCCTCGGGCCCTGTCCTCCCTCCTCCTCCTACCCTTCCTTCTCCCCACTCCGTTCTTCGTTGCGCTTCCCCCTGCGATGCAAAACTGTTGTCCTGTTCCCCTCCTCTTCTGCCCACCTACCCCTCTAATCGTGCCGCGTAGTCAAGCATTCGGCGATGCATTCTGTCGGCGCCATTTGGGTGCGGCCGACGCGGAACAAGGCATCGCGCGCGCAGAACACTCCTGCCTGGGGGACGGCCAGCCATTGGAGCCAGGACTGCCTATAGCAGTTTGCCTTCTGGAGCGGACGGCCAAGCCTGACGCACCCGAAGCACGGTGAAATTCCGGACTATATTGCAGCGGTTCTTGTGGGGAAACCTAACAAAAAAGACGATACGGCTACTCCCCGGACTTCTTCCCGGGGTGCGTCCTGACCAGAATTTCGAGGCGAATCCTGCGGCGGCGAAGAGGGCCTCCCAGGAGGCCGAACCACAAGGGAAAACGGGCGAAGGGTAGCGGGATGGGTACCTTTTCCGCCTCTGATCCTGGGGGTGTCTCGGGAGGGCAGGGGCTTCATCATCTGCCTCCTCCTCTTCCTCCTTGCCGTCCTGCCCTGCTCCCCTGCTCGTCCTCGCCCTCTCCGTCCTGCCCTGTACCCCTCGCCCTCGTCGCCTGCCCTGCCCCCCCCCAGACACTCTCCTCCTCCGTCTTGCTTCGGGCAGGCCTTCCTCCGTCATCCCGACGGCCCGGATCTATCGAAGTTAGACGAGCGCGTTCCACTACTCGCAAAGTAACTACTCGCAAATGGCCTGGAACTCCCGCGGAGGATCTACGATAGATTACATCGAAGCGGACATGTGTTTTTTCGGACGTTTGCGAATAGGCACTTTGCGAGTAGTGGAAGGCGCTCGGTGAGAAGTGCGAGCCCAACCCCCTGGAGGTGCCGGGCGCCAGGACGGCGTGGCGCCCGGCGTGGATGATGGAACGAACGCGGGTGTGGATCTGGTACGAACATCGGAGCGCAAGTGGCATGACGGTCTGCATGTGTTGCAAGTCTCTCGGAGGTGTATGACGGAGTCGCCGCCGCAATGCTGTCATACATCTGGTTTTCTGGTCGGCACACCAGCATGAAGCCCCTGGCGGGCATTGATGGGAGCACGAAGAGTGGGCAGAAGTTAGCGACGAATTCGACCGACAACCAATGGGTGAGCCTGCGCACTGAAGGAAAACTTGCGGGGTGCCAAACGTGCCGGATGCGCTACAGCAGCGGGTGCGCCCGAATGCGAACGCCACTTGGCGCCGAACGGCGGACCCTCATGGGGCGCGAGCTTTTCAGGGACAGGCCAGATTGGATGACCAAACCACGTGCGAACGGTCCCGCTGTCGCCGTGGCTGGGGCTCCGCATGGGAGTCCACGGTGACTGGGCCGCGCCCCCTTTTATGCGAGGAACGACTGTGGTCGCCCCGCCAGAGTAGCAACTGAGATTCCTTTTGCGGCACGAATCGTATGATGAGGGGGCGAATTAGACCCACGGGCGTGCTCGAGCGCTCAGTGTGTTGGGGCCATGGGCGAGGCTCCTCGTGCGATGCGGAACGCGTGAAGGGCGGATGATACGAGCAGTGGGTGAAATCAAGCCCCAGGTCCGGCATGCCCTCCTCCAGGCGGATCTTGGAAGGAACATAATCAGAGGTAGTCAGTCGAGAGATCGTCCCCACACGATTTGCGTCTATCTTGAAAAATTGTTCTCCTGTACGGGGACATGCCCAACTTACATCAGGCCCATGGGCACGCGAGAGGTAGCGTTATGTCGGGCTTGTCCCCCTACAGGGGGACCTTCGACGAAAAATTAAAAATACCCCAAAAATACCCCAAGAAGGTCAAAAATACTCAAACAATAGTCCACAGACTATTGTTGGAATATTGTTTCATTACATTTGGCGTATTTCATCATTCTTCGTCGAAAATCCCCCTGTAGGGGGGCAGGCCCGACTTAAAGGTAGCGCCACGTGGCGGCGTGGCGAGGCAGCCGCGCGGGCGCCAGCAGTGCGGGGCGGGGCAGCCCGGACCACGGGAGGGAGAGGGGTCGGCGGGGAGAGGCAGCAGGGAGGACGAGCCGCGCAGCCGCAGCGACGAGAAGGCGAGCGCCCGACCCCGCGGGGGGGGGTGGGGGCAGCGCGTCACAGCATGCAGACCAGCACGAAGAGCAAGCAGTAGCAGAGGGAAAGCGACATATAAACATAAACTGTTGGCGCTCCGCGCGGACTTCTTGGACCCGCACTGGCCCCACCCTGCCTGGCGCGCCCAGGGGCGGCGCTGGAGGCAGCGCGGATCCAAGAAATCCGCGCGGAGCGCCAACAAATTATGTTTATGATGTTGTTTCTCCTTCGAAACATGTAAAAACATGATGAACAAATATGGCGGGGTCTGCTCGCAAAACCCAGCGTAACATGAAACAGCAGGCAGGCGACGCGGAATGCCGGCGGGAGCTTGAATGACGACTATCCCCGTGCAACTTCCGCACCAAATTCGTACTAGTGCCGTGTGCGCCCGACCCTGGCTGACTGGATGGTGGCAGCATCCCGGAGCGTAAAGGAGACTTGAGAATGTGACCTCTTGGCTAACGATGACTCGCGCAGAAACCGGTTACCACCAGTAGCTGTCCCAGCGGATGCGCACAGCCAAAGTGTATCCAAATAAGTTGCTACCGCACAGCAGCATGGGCTCATGGTGACAACATCATGGCGACCCCGTGCACCACACCTGAAGATGGGGTGCGGAGGCTTCCGTTCGGCGCATCACTCACGCACTTCGTGCCCCATGTACCCCCGAAGGCACACAATTAGCTCACCAGCTCGTCCCCGTGTTTCCCGTTCCGTGTGCTCAACAATTATGCGTGTCAACTACTGCGAGCCAGCAAGCGATTTGTGGACGCAGCGCGTTGCAACCATGGAGTGGGTGCGCGAAGTTGCCACGGGGCTTTCACAAACTATCTGCGCGGGCCATGAAGTCGTGAAGCAGTAGAACAAAAAAAACGGGGGGGAGAGAGAGAGAGAGAGAGAGAGAGAGCGAGAGAGAGAGAGACAGAGAGATGAGTCTATATATAGAGAGAGAGGGGGGAACCCAAGGCGAAAATGTCTAAAATGTCTATGTTCCACCTCGCATCCTCCTGACCTTCTTCCCACGAACGTGACTCTCTCCATTCTCGTCCTCCGCTCCTATTGCCAGGCAGAGGAGGACAAGGAATGGCAGAGCCTTGGAAAGCTGGTTTGGAAACGACTGCGTCCTCCATGTGTGCAACAACACTACAGACAAACGCCCTTCCAGACCATGAGATGGGACGCACAGAGACATACTAATATTATGTGTCCTCCTTGGAGGCACGCGTCCGAGCCGAACATATAGGATAACCATCATGTAGTATATCGTTTCTCGAGCGGTGTGGCCACAAAGCGCCCGCCACGGCGCATACACAATAAGATATCTCGGTGCGTGCGTCGCCCCTGGGGGAGCGACGCACACATAATATTAATATGCTGTGGCGCGACGCCGATGAGACACTCCGCCGGCCAAAACACCACCGGATGCACACGAAGAACACTCGGTTACCCTCCCCGAACCGATCCCGATCCTGTAACTCGGTCCGACCGTGCCGCTCTCAAGAAAAAGGCATGGCAAGTCTCAGCTGCAGTGGAGAGGTACACTGCAAAGATGCGAGGCGCCTGCTGCTCCTGCTCTCTCCGCAACC